TTATATTAACACTGTATCGTATCTATTCCTTTAATATATATATATATATATATATATATATATATATATATATATATATATATATATATATATATATATATATATATTTGTGTTAATTTTAGGGCCTGACCTGTCAACTACTGCATGTTTGTAGATGGCATCAGGCGCCAAACGTTGTATTGTGGCTTACTTGGTAAAGCGCGCCGATAACTGGGCACTGCCCAAAAAAAGACAATATCTATTGCCCGCCCCACAACATAGAATAAAGAAGGCATATCAACACAAAATAGAGTGATTAACTTCCTGGTGACTACTAAGATATTGTTGTCCCCTTACCATCAAATAATCCACACAGCGCTACAGGCTACAATAGCTCGAGAATCTCAATCCTAACTTCCTTGGAGGATGAACCGGGATTTTTCTGCCTTGATATGATGGATGTGGGGGGCGGGAGTAAGGGGCTTAAAGGCTCACCTCTCTCCATAAAAGAAAACGGGAGAATCAATATAATAAAATACTTGAAATAATAGGATATGTTTAAATAAATACTTCTTAAAGTAAAGAGAATTTATATATATATGTTTATAGGTACAGGTGCTGTAAGTTCCCTTACAAAGGGAGGGTGTGGGGTTCGGACGGGCTCCTTGAGGTTCCGGCGTCTATTATCACATACATGGAAGAAGTAGAAAAAGATGGCGAAGAAGAAGGAAGAGGGCAACATTCCATTCAATAGGAACAGGACTGCAGTCCAGAAGTGGACGAACAACCAGAACTTTCTGCCGGAGTTTACAGCCGGTGAACGAGAAGAAGAAGAAGAATTTGTCATTTTTTTAGTCACAGTTTGTGTTCTACGTCTAGAAATTGAACATGCACGATTTGGTTTATCCTGCGCATGCGCATTGTAAGAATGAAACTCCACGTAAGAAGAGCTTCAGGATCTGCTTGAGCTGCCTGCTATTGTTTCAGGACTTTAAGTTGACAGCTGCATGTTATACAGTTGTTGCACCAGGACACTGAAGTGGGTTGTATCAGACTGCACGCTGCTGTAGAAAAAAAAGATAGTTGTAGGATTTATGTTCATTGCAAAAACAGTGCACTGCAGTAATTAAGATATTCACTACTGAATGAAGTGAATTTTATTCAAATAACCAAAACAGTGAGTACCTGGTTGTTAAATAAATAAGACATAACATGTCAGTTGATTTATCATTTAGTTTTGTATTTTGTTGTTGTTTAACCTGCTTAGTTGGATAGCTTTTACTAACTCCAGTAAAAGGAAAAGACAGTAATATGCAAATTCTGTTGTAAAGAAATATAAATATCAGCCTGAAGTGGTGAACATAGATGCTGGTTTAATTTTCAACTTTAATAAACTATAGGTGCGAGATACTGAAGAATACAACAGCAGAACTGGTACATATTTATGCAACATATGCATATAGTATGCAGAGCACTCCTCCTCCCTTCCCCATCAAATAATAATGTTTTTGATATACATACCAATAAGTACCCTTTGAGGTCAAACAATGGGCATCAACAATCTCAAATTCACTGTTGCCTTTAAAAAAAAATATACTGACACTCTCAGGTTGACAGCTGTAAGTAAACGATGAAGAAGGAAAAAGATACAAACCAACAGTACCTCATTCGAGTATCTGATTATTTTAAGCCAAGAAGAGATTTTATTGTTTGTGTCAATCAGCAGTCTAATAGTTATCGCACATCGCTCTTGTCATGGCAATCCTGAAAATATATCTTTCTCTATCTAGTTCTCCAGCCCTATGTGCTTTTACAGCCAGTGCATCTTCATTGTCTTGTATGCACCTTCATGGATGTCTAGGTCTACATCGTTTTCTGGAAACTGCACCCTCCGTCATGCCCTCTCCAGGCCACCATCACATTTAACATGGCCAAAATACCCCAACTTCTGCAACAGGCTGCTGTTTATGAGCCAGTTCTGCTTCATGCTCAGATCATGTAGGGTGTTATGTTTATCTTCTTCTTCATTCATAGTATTCTAGAAATTTTCTGTAACATTTCAACTCAAAAGCTTCAGTTTAACTCTTGGAGTCCCAGGAAACGCATCACGCACTAATTTGTATCAACCTAGGGGCCCAGTTGACGCGTGACAAGTGAAGGTTTTTAATCTACCACTGACCGGTTATAAAACATGGACCGCCCAATTTCAACTTTCTTCCGAGTTCTGTGTGTCTGATATCAAGCGTGCTCATTTAGAAACATGGGCTGAATGCCAAAAATATAGTATATTTGTGAGATTCCCGAGTTACTAAATGTTTGTTTGAAAAGATTAAGGCCGCCAAGCGTTATTCTACATGCATGCCAACGTGATTTACAGCCTTAGAAGCCTAAAATGTAAATAAAGTATGTGTTTTTTTTAGATTTATCTGAAGTTAGATAGATAACATTGTGAATTAGGGGTGTTTCAGTCCTTTATAGAGTCAAACTTTGATAAGGGATATGTCTGATGTGTACCTCACGCGAAGGGAAGGGTACAACAATAGCAAAGTCAGCTGGCACAAATAGAATAAACATGAGTGAAAAGACGATTTTCTTCAGTGTCAGTTAGTTCTAGTGCTTTTCCCCTTATTGATTAGGAACATAGCTTCAAAATTACAGGCAAATTGAGTGTTATATAAACTTTGTTTTGAGTGAAGATACTTATTGTTTTGGGAGCCAGTTTTCTTTACCAAATAAAAGTGCTCTGTTATGATGCTTCAAAATATTCTCTGGAACAAAATCTAATGTATAAATTTATTTTATATTTTACTTATACATTACTAAGTGGTTCATATTCATTTGTGATTAATTTTAACCAGTTTTTCTTCAGGGCCATGGTTGTAAGCGGACATTTTTTCATTTTATTTTACTAATTTTTGTAAACATACCGTCTGTTTATTTACTAATTTTTAATTACTTACACAATTATCTGTTGCAGCTCTATTCTAAAATTATTCCTCAACATTCCCTGGTCACTTTGATGTATAATATGTGTATGTTGCGCGGCAGTTGAATTAGTATGGTCTGTTTTAATATCTCTCACTTGTAAAATTAAAAAATTGCATTACCACCCCTTGGGCCTCTGATGCTAAACCCCCTGGGACTCAAAGAGTTAATGACTCACATGGATTGCCTCGGAAAAGATGCATGATCTCAAAATTTTTACTTCAGCTCGATGGTAGGCTACGTGCATAAGTTCATCACATTGTTTAGTCTTTGCATTGCTAAAGTAGGTCTTTTTTTTTTTTAAACCTATTGTTTATTGTATATACTGGGAAAATTGGAAATAATGACTCATCACTTTTTTAGCTTGTTTTCTCGCACTTTTATCTATGTAATCACAGTCTCACTGTATTCTTGATGTTCTTCACCCCAAATTTACAAAAAAAATTTGTTTAAAAAAATGCATACTTAAAATGTGATCTTCTTTTGCCATTTTACTTTCACTGGAGCAAAGGCTCAGTGTATCCTATCTTTTGTCATTGTAAGAGGCTCACCTCATGCCTAATCCAAAATTCTAGTATTATAATGTTTTACCTCACTCATTATGCCTAGTATCCTTGGCGATTCATTCATAATTCTGACATTTTAAATTCTAGGTGCCATTCCTGGAGCTTTTCCTCTAAAACAAGGTAATCACTAAATGTCACATCGCTGGTTGGGTTACGGGACCCCATTAAGGGGAAAACAAGAATAAACCCACTGCCTGCCTAAAAGCATGTCGTAAGAGTTTACCATATGGGAGAATTCCTTCGAGTACATCTGCCTGAGAGGCAAGGGACAAACAGTCTGCATGCAGATGAATTAAACCTGTGAAACGGATGTGCACGCAACACTCAGTTTCTGGAACAGGACTAGAGTCCAGAAGTGGACAAACAACTAGAACTTTCTGCTGGAGTTTAAAGCTGGTGAACATGACGAAGACTATATGTCACAGTGTTGCTTTAACATTATATGTTCTTAATTAAAAATTCAAAATGGCAGCCAGTTAATTTTTGTTAAAGTAATTAACCCCTGAAATAAAAAACACATCTAATTTGTTATGTGCTGGTTGATAAAATGAACCCATATAGCCATGTAATAAAGCCTTTCTGTATTAGGTAGCCAAATTAAACCCCAAAAATGGATAGACATTGCGGCTCTCCTGTAAAACTACAGCCGGTAGACAACAGTTGACGGCCGGTTAGTCGGAGTTCTGTCCCCTTGCTGCAGTGCAATTATGGACTGGAGAAGGCACGAATCAAAAAACAAAGTGAGGTCGAAATGCCTGGCAGAACCCGCGCTGCGACCGCGTTCAATTACCGCTTCTTGCGACGCATTACGGAGTGGATTAGAGGGAAGGAAACAAGTGACATAATTACTGTGTGTCGGCGATAGACAGGGTGCAGTGCCCTACTGTCATCATACAGTTAGGGTTAGGGGTAGGGTTTGGGTTAGGTTTAGGGTTAGGGTGTGGGTTAGGGTTTGGGTTAGGTTTAGGGTTAGGGTGTGGGTTAGGGTTAGGGGTAGGGTTTAGGGTTAGGGTTTGGGTTGCTACGTTGAGTTTCTGCGAAGACGAGATGCGGCGACACTAACCGCAACGCTAGCCCTAACCCTAACCCAAACCCTAACCCAAACCGTAACCGTATGATTATAGCAGGGCAGTGCATGATGTCTATCGCCAACACACAGTAATTGTGTCAATTGTTTCGTTCCCTCCTTTTCCACTCTGTAATTGGACTGCAGCCAGGGGACAGAACTCCGACTAACCGGCTGTCAACTGTTGTCTACCGGCCGTAGTGATCAGGAGAGCCGACATTGCAGATATGGTCACTGTTATATTTCAAGGCATTTAATTAAGCAACATTTTTATTAACAGCAATATAATGACCAGATATGTAGTCAGTGCATTTAAAAACACAGAGAAAGTCAGAAACATTTTTATGGTGTACATTGAACTCATTTTTTTTTCTTTCAGGTAGACCCAACACTGTTATGCAGAAATGAGTGGGGCAGCAGTTGTCTTTTTGACTTCACTTTCAGCTCTGCCAGTCTCCTACATCTGGGATACAATTGCCCATTTGAAGGATCAGAGGCTCATCTTCTTAACATCATGCATCTCTTTTGGTGTTGTCACTGCAGTACCTTATTTTGTTCTTCGAAAGAAAGTGCAGAAGGTTGATCAGTTCTGTGGTAAGTATATTTTTCTTTAAGGATGTGTACTATTTTCCCTTTAAACTGGTTGTCCTGGGTGGTTTGAAAAAAATCCAGCTTGATTCAAAAAATATCATAGGGGGTTTCAAAAATCACCCAGTTTGGTTTCTGAATTGTTCTAGGTTTAAAAACATCCAGTTGAGTTTGAAAAATGTCCTAGGTGGTTTAAAAACATCCTAGGTGGTTTGGTAATCATCCAGTTTTATTTGAAAAAAATCCTAGATGTTTTAGAAAGTGTCTGGTGTAAATTAAAGTAAAGGTCTTTTTTACATGCCCATGTCATATCAGGCATTTGAGGCTAGACTCTCATTTTTATAGACTAGTCGACCACCTTCGCTGGGTTATATGGTCAACTTCATGCCATCATGCTGGCCACCTTTACTTTCCAGAACTTTACCTGGTACCCAGTTAAGGTTGGGTCAACCTGAGAGCCAAGTGTTATAAAAAAAAATCAGGCTCTGTATGGATTTGAACCCACACCCTTTGGATTCACAGGTGTGATTAGCTAAAATCACTGGTATCAAACCATTATCAGAGTGTAATGATATATTTTACATTTAATTTGAGCATGCTAAGGAAATCTGGCTAGATATGCTAACATACAGCACAGTATATGTTGTTTCTTTGAAAGTAATATACTCATGCTCTTCTTATTGTGTTTGCTGTCTTCATAATGATTACAAAAAAAATCTGGTATTTTAAAGAGTTAAAGTGAAAATGGTACATATCAAACTGGCAGTTTGTGGCATAGTGGTATCGATAACAGGTGTTAAAGAAAGTTGAGGCCATTGTTAGGTGTATAAGAAGTTACTCCGTACCTTACTTTAGGTGGCAGCTGGCTTTTGGATAGTTTTACGGATCCTTACGCAAGATTCCTGCTGCACATCAACGTCGTGCGCCACGGATAAAGGATAACCATTGTAGCCTAGACTGAGTTGACAGGTGATCTCTGAGTTAGTGCCCCCCCCCCCCCCCAACCTACACTCCCTTTCCAAACTAAACAGAACCCATACAAGGATTATGTAATTTAACAGCAGTAACCTTAGGTATGCAGATGTCCCTTAATGAGCCTGTAATGTATTTCCTCTTATTTCTTCTCCAGTGCTTTGTCTCCTCTTGTTCCAGTCAGTACTAAGCCTTGCTATTGCAATGGAAAATGATGGACTGATTGCTGAGTTTCTTGGTTATTATCTGAGAGAAGGAGAGCCTTACCTCAAGACAGCTCATGGAACCATGATTTCATATTGGGATGGCATCGCCCATTATGGCATGTACCTTATGATGCTGGCTGCAGTGTCTTGGAAGTAGTAACTCTTTGTAGTTATAGAATTTTACTTCCTATAATTTAGCTCATGTTTTCCTATAATTTATTGACTTCTGTTATTTAGTTATTTGCTTGTTGATACATATTCCTGTGATTTCAGACTGACTAGTCTCTATTTAGCTCATTCATTACCAAAGAGAAGCTCTGACAGGTGCACAGACAGAGCATTGCTCTGCTAACTTCTGCAACATGCTGTGTCCCAAACATATATTACCTTTCCTTTGGAGTTAACAAAGCTGAACAAGAGAGGGGTGATGCCGTATGGACAACACACATTCTCCACAGTACTACCTAGGCTTTGTGCTAATTAGAGGAGGAACTTCATCCATGGTATTCTTTGGGGTACTATTTATGAAAATCACTCCCTCTCTTTTGGCTGCGAGATTTCCTAGTGGTTCCTACGGGCTGTCCTTTTTTCTAAGGGTGTTTATTTTGAACATCCTCAGGATATCCACTACCAATGAGAGCTATCGCCAATGAGCGTAAAATTACAAAAACATCAATGATTTGATATTCATGAACAGTCACGCCTTTGGCGCTTCCTACTGCAGTACTTCTTCCTTGCAGACGGGCACTTGCTGCGCCTGATCTAATCACAACAACAATTCATTCCACAAACAACTGTCATTTTACAGACAAGAGAGTTGCAAGAAAGAAAGCTGTGCAGTTTCATCTGGGACTCTATGTGTCCACCATGTCAAACAAACACAAGCCAGTTTTTGGCACTGTGTGAATAGATGGCCAAGGAAGGCATCTCATAACACCCCTAGAACATAGGACAGCTCATGGGAACAGCCATGAAATCTCGCAGCCGAACGAGACAAAGTGACTTTCGTGAGTAGTACCTTAATTGTTGTCGACGTGGACTGTGATTCTCATCCTCCGTACAGTACACCGGGACATTGTTGCCCAGTGAGATGGAAGAGTGCCAACAGCTTACAGTGTACATTTTTGACAACTCTACATGCCACTTCCAGCTTCTACACTTTGCTGTTATTGTGACTTTAACTCCCTCCTTTTCTAGGTTCTGTAATATAATGTAATTTGGACACCAACACTTGTTACTCAAAGTAATAACTTTATAGGAGAGATTGGGCTAAATTATAACTGCCAGGTACTGAAAGAGTTCTGCCCCTTGACAAGTTTCATAGTTATGATTGTTCATTCACTTTTGCTCATTAAACAAACAGTGCAGCTTGAAAATAAATCCATGATCTTAAAAATGAGAGGCATGTGTTTTGCCACTATACATCAGATTGAGAATTGAGAGAAACAAAATTTCAGTTTGAAAATTGCGACAGAAATCAAAACCACATGAGAATCCCTTTTATAAACTCAGTGCAATAACTTTAACTCTTTCCTTTTCTAGGTTCTGTAATATCAAGTAATTTGGACACCAACACTTATTACTCAAAGTAATAACTTTATAGGAGAGATTGGGCTAAATTATAACTGCCAGGTACTGAAAGAGTTCTGCCCCTTGACAAGTTTCATAGTTATGATTGTTCATTCACTTTTGCTCATTAAACAAACAGTGCAGCTTGAAAATAAATCCATGATCTTAAAAATGAGAGGCATGTGTTTTGCCACTTATACATCAGATTGAGAATTGAGAGAAACAAAATTTCAGTTTAAAAATTGCGACAGAAATCAAAACCACCTGAGAATCCCTTTTATAAACTCAGTGCAATAAAACAAGAACACTGTTAAGAAAAACACAGATCTGGCCTATTTGTAAGCACTTTGTTAGTTCCTTGCCTCTCAGGCAGATGCAGTTTGACTTTGAAAGGAACCCATAATTAATGTTCAACCGAAAATCATTGAAGTGATTATTGATTTTTAATGTATTTCACAGTCAAAGCTTTCATGATGTTGGCCTTTACTGGGCAGGATCATTTGCTTACAGTAAGCTAGTGCTCATCTTGGCCGTTCTCATAGGTATGCATACATGTTTTAGGGGATATGGATTTGTTCTTTGTTCAGTAGTTTAAAAAAAAAGTGAAAGTCGAAAGGATCACTTTTATATCATATGGTTTAGTCTCTTTCCGCAGAATGTCTAGCCATCTGCTGAGGGCATTACATGAAGCATGAACTCCTGAGATGATCCTTTGAGATTTGCATAATAATTGTACTCATGAACTGAATGATGCTTCTGTGAGGGATCCTTAGACCTTCAGAGTACAAGGCAAACGGCTTGACTACTTCGCTACTGAGACCCCATATAAAAAAATATAATTTTGGTCATGTGATGGGAAAACGGGCAGTGAAAAATCATGACGACTGGCAATCTGTGGTAGAGAAGCACAGGAAAACTGAGAAGCACACGCTGACGAGGAAAAAAGGGTGCTTAAATTATTTTAAAAGAACTGTCAGTAGAATTGAACTAAAACACCATGGGGTGAAATTTACGGGTCACTGATTGAATTAAAAAAAGCCAGTGAAGTTCATTCTAGAGACACCATTGCAGATATAGATAATCTACTTCAGGCAAAAAAAGGAAGCAAAAAAAGAAGAAATGTAAAAGGGACTGCATAATTTCAAAAGTTGACGGGATCTGACCAACGCTCAACACCTGAGGGAAAGACCAGACATATATACAGTCAGACAGTTACTGGTACCATGGGAATTGGAACGCTTCGCTTGCTGCTGAAGATGGGACGGAGCGCTTATGGGAGTGTCCTGAGTGCTGTGATTTTGATTATTAATTCAACATTCAACAGAACGGCTTGGCTTCTGTGACAGACTTTTCATGACCAGGTCAGGCCACCGAATAGTGGTCCCAGAGTTGATTGCAGCCGTCAAATGCCTCATGCAGAAAAACTGCAGATTGCTGGACTGACAGGCATGCATCATCAAACTGGACCTTCATTTGCCCATGAATTTCTGTAGATTTCATCTCTTCACTGACCAAAAGATGCATAAGAAAATGCTGCTCCTCTTTGGTGCATGTCAAAAGTCAGGCAGCCATATTTAACTCTTTCAGGCCCATGAATTTTGACAGACTTGGCTCACATTAATTCCCTTTACCAAAATGGCATAGGGGTGGGTGTACAAGAAAGGCAAAAGAGAATGTAATATACTTCTAATCCTAATAAAAAGTGTATACATTTTTAAAGAGAAATGAATGTACATTCGGAATCTGATGATAAGTAAATGTTTAATTTTTTTTATAGTTAGTAGGAAAGAAGAATTCAGCAGGTGTTAATTTCACATCAACAACATTTTACAAACAAATTCTTCACTTACCATGATTTTGCAGCCACACGAGTAGTGAATATCCAAATTTGAGAACAAAACTTCAAAGTTTGTTCAATTTCCTAACAAATTCTAAAGTTATGATAAGTTTCTGGGTTAGTTTAGCATTCAGGGGGTTTTAGTTTTCACAGAGTGCTGAGAAAAATTTCAAAGACAAAATGGCCGAAAAATTAACCATTACACACACGCTATTTACTATGTACAGTATATACAGACTGTAACTGCGATGATTTCAATGTAGCTTAGCCATAGTATAGTACAATCTCTTTGTTTAGAGCACTTTCCTTCTCTTACACCATAAATACGGTAGCAATGGGACATTGTCTGTGTAATAAACTCATCAGAATCGCTAGATTCAGAACAGCTGATCGCTCAGCTTCACTGGTGAAAATGCCCTGTCTGAATCACTTTCCGAAAAATATAAATTTTCATTATCATTATCAGAATTAAAAACATCTGGCTGAAACAGTTTTAGAGCTACGGCTGCAGAAAGACGCATTCTGCGACCTGTACTTGTGGTGGGAACATTGATATTCATGGCACTCTTAGGCAAAACAGAACTTTTTAGTCAATGCTCACACCGTTGCTTGGGCCTCAAAGAAACTATCCTTATGACATCACTGTGTTCATTTGCATTGTGATCTCACGTGCTTAACAATCTTGGTACCCTTATCAATAATATTGACAAAATAAAAGACATGGTTATTGTATTTTCTGTCACACTTTTAACGTATTTTGTTGAAGCTGCCTCATGATGCTTGTAAACAAGAAGCTGTCTTCTTCACTGTCTGTACACACTACCTTCACTGTGGTGTAAGATAAAGAGCCTTGAGTGTGAAAATTGTTTGTGTTATCTAAGTTACCAGTGCATAATATCTGTGGGATTTGCTGATTTAAAAGTCTTTTTATTTTTGAGTATCCTTATTTAGTGGTTCTTGTTTTTTAATTGTTTTTCTTTGTTGTTAAGGTAAAGAAGGCGCCCGTCTGCCTTTTCTGCTACATTTTCCAATCCTGGCTATCTGTGCTGTGATGCTCATGAGGTTTCTCAGTGAAAAACTGGATGAGAGCTGCCAGATTCAAAGAGAGCTCAATAAAGAGGTTAACATTGGTATATACATTCTATTGGAGTCGTTGACAGTGTTGTTGTCCATTCCGTTGTCTACATGTTTTGTAATAACTTTTTTGCAGTTATATTTATTTATACTGGCTTTTCTCTTTATGTATATAAATATCTTCATGTCATATCTTTGCATAGTTCTTCTGTTCCCCATTATTTCCCGTTGGAGAATAAGCTCTTGGCCGTCACATGCTTGTCACATGCCGTCATCTTGTTATTTGCAGCTTATCTTGCATCCCTCCTTACCAACTTTTCACCTCAGTCTCAAATTCTCTTCTCTGTGTGTTTTCACATAGAATGATCACAATTTGGTATGTTTGTACACCTAAAATGTTCTCTTACACCTAAATATGTTTGTGCACATAAAATTTTTACACATTCATGCGCTCACATTTACGCACACACACACGCAAACACAGAGAGAGTGACTGAGAGAGAACAGATTTTATTTACAAAGAGCTAAGAACTGTCCTTGCTGACTCATCTATCATTCTGCCAATGAGAGAGACACACACACACAAACGCAGAGCCCACATTTCAACACACCAGAGTCCACATTTCAATCGGTATATATACTTATTATGTTCGCATATTTTTTTGTGTGTGTTTTTTTTAAAATATACATTTAGCATGTCCACAAGTTTTTATTTTTATAAGCGCTGAATATTCACAATTTACTATTCTATTCACATTTCTAAGTCAGACACTTTAGAACTGGTGTCGACATGGATCAACAGTTATAGGACAAAGAAGGTAGCAAGCACTGTTTTGGGCACATCTGAGAAAAAAACAGACAGTCACTCAATAGGCACTGAAATGAGAAACAAATAGGTTGAGGAAAGAGGATGTCCAATAGAAACATTAAAATGACTGTTCCTGAGGGAGGCTAAATGTGCTGGACTGAATTCTGTTCGTGAAATAGAAGGGATTGCACAGGATAAAATTGGATGGGGGACTAGAATGCAAGTCCTATGTATCGTAACATGGCATGATAGAATGATGATGATAGGCATATTGTGTTCACATTTTTCTTAATGCATTTACATGTACAGTGTTAAATATGTAGAATTTGTTTGCACGAAGTATGGTTACAGTTGACATGTTTATGTGGTATATATCTGCTTTTCATTTTATTATCCAGTCACCCCCTTGTGGGATGCAATTTTTTCTCTTTTTGAAGCCCTACTCTGGCTCTTGCCAGGGCTGCCCAAACATAAATATGGTCTAATGGCTGAACACAGTTTCTGGGACCTCTCCACGGGTGATCCTCATCCACATGGTGACACTTTGTGTCATCGGGTGTTTATGGCTTGTGTGATGTCCTGGTGGGGTAAAAGAAGATAGAAAGAGATAGAGATTTTCTTTTACACACTACCCTGTATGTGGCTTACAGGTTAGTGTAATTGTTTTGCAGACCAGTCCTTGATACTCGGGTTTGATACCCAGGGTAATACTTTAGACAAAAGATTGCTCTTATGGCTTTCAGACAGTGGTATGAGATTAACATGGTGGAGAGACTGGACCTCACCAAGGAATACTTACATAGATAGCAGAAGATGCACTGCAAGCTTTACTTTATTGTGGAGACAGCAGCAAAAGAAAAATAAATGATCCTATACCTGTTTGTTCTGCTTTTTCATCCAGGGCACAAGAAAAGTCACAACCTTGAGTATTTGGAAAAGACCTTTTGATCTGACTCTTTTTGTATATTATGGATTTGCCTCCTGCTTCACTCTTTTTAGATTTTCAGTAAGTGTAGTTTTAGTGTGATCATGTAAGACAGGGCCATTAACGGGTGGATGATGGGCCGTATCTGGTGTGCGGAGGCCTAGCGAGTGTTTGTTCTGCAGATCATTGTCATTTATGTTGTTTTAATGGTCTTTCCATGCTGGGGCTTGGGCCCCTCCTCCGTTTTAAAATTGTGCCCCTGAGTAAACTTAGTTGAATAGTCCTGATGTGATACTTTGGTTTGTTTGAGTAATCCCCTTGTGGGATGAAGATACACTGTCACTCTAAGGGGTATGTTATAAAATTCGACTTATTAGGGACGTTCCTTTTGAAGTCTGACTGCATCTGCCTGAGAGGGAAGGAACCAACAATCTGCATTCAGAAAAGCCAGGTCTGTTAAATGGATGTGCATGCAAATATCAAGTTCTAGAACAAAACTAAAGCCCATATGTTTTGCACTAATTGACCCCATAAATTAACATTATGTCAGCTTTTGTATTTTACAGGACATATCCTGGTACTCATTCTAAGCTGAGTTAATCTGGGAGCCTAAAGTCAGCTGTAAAGTGATTACTTTCGATCAGGGCTTTTTTTTCTCCTAGAAAAAAGGTGCTAGTACTCACCACACAATGTCTTAAAGGAGGTGCCGGTACTCACCACACAATGTCTGTGCTGACAAAATGATGCCTAAAACAAAGATGCTGATACTGCACACACAAAAAAAGCCATGCTTTTGATACAGATTTGAACTCTAGACTTGGGCTGACAGTCAAGCATTTAGCCACTGCGTTAACACCCCCCACCCCTCCCCCCCCCCCCCCACCACGATGTATGTGTGTGTGTACATGTATATAAATTCCCCCATGAAAATGAGCTGCACACCATGGCAAATATTTAGAAAGAAAAATATAAATAGAAGTTGCCACTAGAACACATTGAGAAAACCTGAGACCAGTGCACTGTAACTAGAATGTCTTTGCACTAGAACCCACAGGGGCATAAAAATAAAGAAAGACCCCCGAAGAAAAAAAAACATGGAGAAAGGAGCTAGAGAGTGAAGTTGAAAATATGAAGAGGACATGGGGAGAGCTGCATGTGATAGCGAAGGAAGGATAGAATGACTTGGCCTGAGTTGGTTGAGGGCCTATGCTCCATTGGGGGTTAGAAAGGCACAAGAAGAAGAATAGGGCATCCAGATTTCTTTAGTAATGCAGAGCAAACATAAAATGTTAAATGTTTGAGTTATGTGTTATTATTTGAGATGTTAACATTACTAGGGACTCAAGAGAGTTAAAAAAAAAACAACAGTATATTAATAATAATAACCCCTCTTCTTATTTCACATTTTGCCTTTATATCCAGTTTTGATTGTTTTAATCCACCAGGCTGCTATGGGCAGTGAAATGGCTTTAGCCAAATGGTACTGTGAAAAATTGGAACCGTACCTCACTGATCCACTTCCATATGCCAGAACTCAAGTAAGACTTCTTCTTCTTATTCATTCACTCTTTTATTGCATAGGCGGGACAGGTTCTCGTGTATGCATATATCAAGTAATTCACTGTGGTTTAATCATTGGCTTTGGTGCCCCAGAGCAAAACTGCAGAGCATGTCTTACAAGAAGTCTGGACTTTTGCAGCCAGAGAACAAAAGAAATTTGACCCCCCCCCCCCTACCTCCCTCCCTTTCCAGTGGGGACCTGGAAGCCACATAAGGAGTTTTGGGCTCCATATTTTCCTCCATACTATAATGCCATTTATCTAACATCATCTCACTTGATCTCTTCTGTCTCTTTCTTACCAGATGACATACTCCAGGTTTAGCCTTCTCATGACATACTCCAGGTTTACCCTTCTCATGACATACCCAGAGAAGGTGCACTAATCTCTCAAAGTAGAATGATAAAGTTAGAGATGCACAAATCTCTTAAAGTAGAATGATAAAGTTATAGAGTCCTTGTGATTTTCTTCCATTTCTAGCTTGTGCACCTGTAAAATAACACCTGTTTTAATGAATTCAAGAGGAGTGAAGGAATAAGAGAAATATCTGGGCACCATTAAAAGAGATAAATAGAGAATCATCAAGCAGGCACTGAAATGGGGAAATAGAGGGAGTGAGGAAATAAGGTGAAACCCTGAAACGAACATTGATGAGGGAGGCCAAAGGTGCTGGACTGGATTCCATCTATGATACTGAATTGATTGCACAGAATAGAACAGGATGGAGAAACAAATGTTGAATAGTGAATTAAGAATCAACATCATAGCATTCCGGCAGCCCCATAAGCGCTCCGTCCCCATCTTTAGCAGCAGATGAAGAGATCCAAGCCCGATGGCACCAGTAACTGTCTGATTGTATATCCGTCTTGCCCTTCCCTTGAGTGTTGAGCGTTGGCCAGATCCACTGGTGACTCCTCGCAGTGCCATTCTCCTCAGACCGTAATGATCTATTTGTGCTTCCGCACTGTCTTTGTACTAATGCTCCCAGAGGGCCCTCACAGTGTCTAGCTTGTGATACATCAATTCACCAAGTGGTGCAGAACAGGCAGATAGACTGGCGGACAGTCTGTCTGCCTATTCATTTCCTAACACACCGGCATGACCTGGAGAATATCCAAAGGATACTAACTACCCGGGACCTCTGAAGTGATGCTTGCCACTCTGCACAGAGCATTCCTGTCTCCACTTTTTCAACATGCTCTGTGAGTCAGTGACAATCACGGCATGTATGTACAGCTGATTCTCAAGCCAGCGGAAGGCAGCGGTGACTGAAACCTCCATTCTCAGACTAGACGTCCATTCGCCTTTGCTATGAACCCCCATGCACTTCATCTGCCCCTTAACACAGAGCCATCTGTATAGATAATCACTTCACTTTGGCAGGAATTGTCATGAATCATTTGTTGAACTTCTGATTCTGGCCAGTCCCTGCACTCACGACCCAAAGTGAAAAGAACTCTGCACAAGTATGAAAAATGATCGAACACTTTGTCATACTCCTCAACTCCCACAAATTTATCAAGCCTGCATGATTGAGACATCAGCTTTTGCCATCCAAGACCTTCCTCTTTTCAGTCTGTGACCCTTAGATCTACCCAGGGCTTCATGCAGGAGGTGCTTTTTGTCTGCAGCTATTCTAAGATCTGACTTTGCTTGCAGAAATTTGAGCCTGTCTTCAATAGTAGGCAGTGCAAGTATGTACCACATACATACTACCGATGTATCTCATGCACATTTCAGAATTACCCGCAAGGCTTCATTCTTTATGGGTTCAAGTTTCATCAGCTGACTTTTTGATGTGGTAAACATTCCAAGTCCATAACCTATCACCGACAGGATCACATGCTGGAACATTGTGAACAGCATTGTTTGTTTCATGTCCATTGCTGCCTTAATCTTGAGAGCATTGAGTCCTCTTTGGCATTTCACCACTAATCCTCCACGTGATCCCTATTGGACAGGCTTCAATCAAAAGTTACCCAGGTACCTCAGTTTGCTTTCTCTTTGGATATTATTGTTATTTATTGTGAGGCTTGGAACATTAGCTCCTACTGTTGTCCAGAGAGCACCTCGTACTTCAAGTTCTGCAATCCTACTTGTAGACACATTAAAGAGCACTGGTGAAATTGCAGAACCCTGGGGTAGTCCCGGGGCAGTATTACATGGTTCTGAGGTCTGTGTACCCAGACGAGGGCTACCATAGGTGAATGCTGGACAGCTGCTATTCAGGTCACGAGCCAGGGACAAAACCCCTTCTCCATGTTTGCTCTAGCAAAATATCATACCTGACTATTGTATTCATCCTCAAGATCTAGTGCTGCCACAACTGTCTCCTGTCTATTCTGGAAGCCCTCATAAACATCAAAAGCAAAAGTAGATGCATTTAGCCAGGTATCTTTTCATGGCTGGTAACTACCCAAACCTTTTGACAGCAGCTCTTCCTTTTCCAAAAACATTTGTAGTTTAACAGCAATAATTTTCTCAAGCACCTTGCTAAAAGTATTTTGGAAGTGGGATTGGTACCTATGTACCCAATCCTGGGGTACTGAAGCTGTTCTGAAGCTCTGGTTGAAATGAAAAGCCGTCTCCCTCTAGTCTTCATCACTCATATTCTTTATATTGGCATACCTGACTCTGTCTGGCCCCAACACAGTGTCTTTAATTTATTTTATATCCTCCACCCTAATGATATCCTGAAAATAGTTATCATTTATAGTATTGGATAAACTCTGACTGAATTTTTAAGCTCCCTGCCATTGTGATCAGTTTCGAATATAAATCTCTTCAAAAAAGGTTTCCCTGTTTTTTGTTATTGTCTGTTGTCATTGACATATCATTATCAGTGTATATAATGCCTGTTGGAATGGAGAAGTAGAATGCGAGCTCTATGTAACATATAATGGCACAACAGGACAATAAATGAATGAACTTATATATTTTCAACTACTACACAAATGAACTGTTATTGGCCAGTTCAACATTCAGAACACATTGCGCCATTTTTGTGCATTTGGGTGCATTCATGTTTCCAATAATTAAATATAAACTGAAAGACAGCAATAGAGTCCATAGTGCAATTACCTTAAATCTAGTTCATCAGTTCAGTGAGTTTGTTTTAAAGAATATTTTTACTTCACCAAGACATTCCTAACAGTGTTTTGTAAACTCTTTTGTTAACTTCATTAGATGATGTTGTTTGTTTATGAAATTGTTCCAATGTGATATTTATATTGCTTTTTTTTGATGTTTATTAATTCTTCGTATGTCAAATGTAAGCATGTACTTTCTGAGAAGAAACTCTCTTGTGTATTAGGAAGTAATGACAACAACATGTTTTCTTTCAGCTGATGGTTCAAACATTTTACTTTGTTCCCTACAACGTACTCAGCATGTATTCCCTTGTGAGGATGGGACAAGCTTGGGTTACCAGGTGGTCCCTGGTGTATGCGGGTGCAGCTGCACAGGTAAGTAATGCAGCGTATAAGTCAATCAATGGCTGTCTGCTGTGAGCACAGCTTTAGCTTGCTGTTAAATATTCTACAGGGCGTCTTTTAAGTTTCCATACTTCTTCTTTGCTCAACTGGTATGCCTTGCGGCTTCAGGGCAGCAAGAGATCTCTGGAACAAGACCTTCTGGCCCTTCTCACACAGTTTTAAGACCCTGTATTTTTTGTGTGGGGGAGGGGGGGAGTGTGATAAGTGTGTGAATGGTAGGCTTTTTGGGGACAGCCAATGCAGTAAATGCCAGTTTAACCAAATTTCTGATTGTTTATAATGGACAGCGAGGCCAGATTAACAGGATTGTGAGGCAAGGGGTTAAATATGTTTTGTGAAAGAACAACTCATTGTATCATAACCACATATATGAAGACTAAAGCTTCATTTCCATTTCTTAATAGTACTATCTATCGTAGGCCTTGACATAAACCGTTAACCATATGTGTTTATGTTTTTCAATCTTTAGGGTCAGTTCTCATTTATGGGGTCATCATTTCACTACCGGACTCCATATATTCATCGTCTGCCACAGACTGGTTCAGCTCGCTTGTTGTTCTGGATTTTCAACGGCCTCTTGTTTGCCGTGCCACAGGTTGCAGCATACAGATGTTTGAACAACCCAAATTTCTACCTGCAGCAACAAGAACCAGAGCCCGTGGAGCATGTCAATTCAGTTGTAGGCAATGGTGCAAGTTTACTGAGTGCTAAGAAAATTGAGTGATTGGTTCAGTGCACACATAGTAGGTCTCATGGTTTACAGTTTGCATTTCCTAGATATTAACAAATTGAAGTTGGTAAATTATAAACATAAATGGGGAATAGAATAATTAAATTATACCTACTTAATCTGTCATTTAGTTTCTGTGGCCCATTTGTTAAGTACATCTGTCCTTTAACTCTTTCATTACCAAAGGACAGTAAAATCACTTCCTCACATGTTCCTTGGTTGAAAAGTTAGTTTCATGTCCTGTACCGACATTAAAGAACCAACCCCAGCAATTTTGGGCTGTAAATGATTTTACTACTCAGTTTTATGTTCAATGGTTTGTTGTTGCTTTCTGAGTGGTCGACTGTCTATACCATTGTTGAAATTAACACAAGGCGGTTTGCTGCTAAATGTAACCTGCAGCTGGAATCCAATCAGGCACCTCAGGATTATGAAGTGCATTCACAATGGCTTAACTGTAGACACAGACGCTCCTTGGTGCTGAAAGACTTAAAATCTCTTTTTTATTGTTATCATGTTATTTATCTGTATACTTTTCTTTCTTTTCCCCATGTTATATTTTAATATTGTAAATTTTCTCCTGCTCTGTTAGTTTCAGAAGACGATTTATTTCTTAACTATGTTATCAGTACCAGGCTTGGACAGTGAATAGAGCACTAGAACAGAAAATATCTACCTGTGAAATGCGCCGTCTCCGTAAGGTTACTTACAACACAAGAAAGGACAGGGTTTCGAATACCAGCATTAAAGACAAAGTTGGAATAAGACTGTTTCTTAATTAAATTGACATAGAAAGATTTGTTCGGCCATCTAGTGAGAATGCAGCCAGACCAGACTGCATAGGAGATTTTTTTCTTTCAACAGCAGAACATCTGAGAGGAAGGAGAGAGGAAGACCAAGAAAGAGATGGATAAAGGGTTTCGCTAAAACCTGCAAAAAAATAAATACACATAAATTTATCACACAAGCTACCTGAGAAGTGCAATACAACCATGCCACTGGGCTGCAGCCTGGTATCAGTGCGACAGCAAAAGAAGAATACGATTATTTTGCTGATTTCTACAGTAGGTGTCATATCCACTCTTGGCATGTTTGCACTAGTGCTGAGATTTATCTATGAAAAAGTGTGAATACAAATGAGAAGTAAAACTGAAAGTAAAGGTGAGAGGCTCAATTTCATTGCACAGGCTTCTATCCCATGTGGCTCAGTCTCTCGCCACAGTACAGCTAGCTGTCTGCCTAGAGCATCGCACAGACCACGACTTCCATAGCTTTGGCGACGACCTCGCAGGAATCTTCGTAAAAATTGCACTCTTGAACTGAAAGGTGCCTCCGTGAAATGAACCCATGACCTTCAGAGCGTGAGGCAGACAGCTTAACCACTATGCCACAGAGACCCCTGAGAAGTAAAACTAGTCAGCCTCTCGGTACTACAGTCTTGAACGAAACTGTGAACATTGTGGCTAGAAGGCTTTCCTCAGTATACAATATAAGTGGACAGTGATACCACAACTACAAACAGAAATAAATCAAATCACTTTGCTTTACAGCGAGACTTGTCACAGAAGCCCTATCCATATTTGAACTTCAGTATCTCTGTATTCATGTATTGTCTCATGAGTGAATGATTTATCTAGTTCTTTCCATATACCATCTGTGATATTATCTGTCATACTCTCTTATTCCAGTAATTCTATACAAGAAAGTGTTGATAAATGTCCACAATTTAATAAATTATGCCAGCAGTTGGGAAGTTGAATTGGGGCTCTTGTGTATACAGAAGAATGCGTTGTTTTTTATTGGGAAAAAAAAAAACAGCCAAAAAGGGTTGTTGAAAGAAATACAAAAAGAGACATGCAAAATAGTTTCACCACATTAAATGATACCCTAACTAATCTTATGTAAGCTTATGGAAGGAGAGGGTTAGCAAAAGTAAGCAGTGGATACAAATGGGAGGTTAATATCAAGACGTGAATGAAGAGCAATATGAGAGTGCACAAGGTCTAGAGACTAAGAGTATTCGCGATCTGTTGCAGTCAGTTTTCATCAGCTTTCATTTTAGAGACTCCATCTGGTTCATTTGTAAGATTCAGTTGATGAACTTTGTTGATGAATAATCCAATTAGTCTTACTACTTCTGCCATGTCTCTGTAGCCTACTGAGAGCTAACCTCTCCTTGTCTTTTTCTCTGTCTTTCCATATTTCAACATGTTAACCAGCTGTCTCTTCTTGCATTTCCTCAGTTTGCTTTTCAGTTTCTTCATGTTTCTCTTCCTTGTCAGTGCTTTAAGAAGAATTGCGATGAGGTGACATGTTAAATAGTAACTTCGTATCCATTTTTTGAACTTGTGGGTAGATATGACCTCGTACTTTGCCTTATTTACTTGATGTTTTAGGTAGCATCTCAGAGAGCATATATTCACTTCCTCATGGTTTCATTCTATATTTTTGCTTCTCTGTGATAAGTATGCTATGTTTTGTTGCAAATTGTCTTTGAGTCAAATACTTTAATGCATTTAAGTAACAATCTTATATATTCTTCAATGCCTACAATTGAAGAGGGCAGACAAAGAAGAATACATTGCATCTGAAAATTGTTTAATGCTGCTTTCTTGCAAATACGAGAGTATATATGGCCTTATTAACCACTGAGCCACATTTTTGAATCTGTAACTGTCTCCAAGCAGTGTAAAAAAAAAAAAAAATAGTTGTGTTTGCAGTCTTGGAACTGTTATCATGTTGACAGCTATTAAGTTTTCTTACTGTGTTGTTTTACTACTTTATTTTCGGCTCTATTTTTGTATTTAAGGTTAAAGTTAATTTACAGTGTACAATTATTTGTGTTTTTGTTGGTTATCTTCCTGTTCTGCCATTATTAATTAACTTTGCTAAATATGTTTCTGATAAATCATTATTATAACTGTTACATAAGCAGTGGCATTGGAATAAAAATCTATATCTTAGAGTAGATCTGTGAATCATAGTTATATATTATTTTTATATTACTTTTTTCATCTCCATTTTAGTGGAGGACAATAAAATTGTTTTACAATTGTGAAATTGTCATTTTTTGTTTCTACATTTAATGATTGTAATTTCCATTCTTTCAAAGTTAGCAGTTTTAGATAACTAATTTGTCCGCTCCTGTTTACAACGTTAATTCTAGTGAATTAACTGTGATATAAGTCTGATTGTAGAATGTTTATGTAACCAGTCAGATTAGGCTTGCTCAAGAATCATTCTAGACTGCAAGCATATCAAAGTTTGATGGCTTCTGTATATCAAGCATGTAATTTTGCACATGTGCCTCGCACTTTGGTAGTCTTTGGTTTGTTTCCTGGAGTATGTTATTTAGCTCATATTGCAATCACTGGAGCAATTGAGTTCTTGCTTTGTAATTCACCCAAAACAAATAAAATCCAGTATTCTAGGGGTCTTAGGGTTTAGGGTTAGTCTGTGTCTGTGAGGCAGTCAGGGCTGACAGCGATTCTAACCCCTAACTCTAACCCATAACATCCCTAGAATAATGGACTTTCCCTGGAACAGGATTTCCTTTGTTTGGGGTGAATAAAAAAATTAAGTACCCAATGTCGAGTTCTTGTGCGGGTGGCCTGGGTTCGACCCCCCCAGTAAGGTGATTGAGTTTTTCTGTCGGGAGCAGAATTAAACATCCTAACCTGCACAGTCCGTAGTGACAGCACTAGTCATGTGGCCCTAAATCTTCAGGCTCTTGACCATTTTTGTCTACACCTCCCTAAAAAGTGGTAAAAATACAGAGTATCTGCAAATGGCTAGCCATTCTGCAGAGAAAGACTGCCTAATGGGATTAAAACCTGATTCAGTGAGGTTGATCCACTTGATGTTAACTTTTAACTTCATCACTCCTCAACTGCTTTGACTGATGAAGTCTTATCACTCATGCACTGCTATAACTGATGCAGTGTTGCCTTATCATTGATCTACTGCTGTAAATAAGGCGGTGCCTATTCAGCAGTGGCGAGGTATACATGCAATGACTGTAATCTCCACTGTCACTTTCCATTGCCAAAGAAAACTGCATTATTTTTCTATTCGTTTTTACTGTTTACTATAGATTACAAATCTGTAATTTGGTTCACATAGCCAAAAGAAAGTATGTTGCGTGCTTAGAACACTCATAAAGAAACGTGTGTAAGCTACCGGTTACTAGTACTTTGATGCTAGCTGTGCACACATACTCTCAACAGCCAAGCGACGAGGAGGAAAATACCCTCTTCAATGTAACCATCTGATCACGCCTTGCCACTGTTGTTCGGCTTCACATTTTGTCTTGTCAGTTACACATTCATCCAGAAGCGTCTCTAAAATTAGTCTGTTTGAACCAGCTGGTAACGTTTGCATTTGTTTCCTAATATTTATGTTCTAATTGTGAATAAGAAGTTTTATGAATTATTGTGTAACTGTTTAAAAATTAAATGCTTGTTTATAGATTGTATGGAAAGAAAACTATATTGTTATCTATCAATTCCAGGTAAGCTTTATTAGAGATTGCCTGTCAGATCTGTTGTCAGTGTGTTGATTGTTACATGTTTTTTAAAATGTAAAACTTTTTCCTTTCTCCCTTGACATCTGAAGCGATAAAAGAGGAAGCAGAAGTTGTGTCTGATTTCTTTTTGCCAGTCCCTTCATTACTTGGTGCTTATAAGTAAATAAATTTACCATACTATATTGACATTATGCAGGTGACAGTTTATTTTCTTTATTTTGTCAATGTTCATAATAATACTCGTTAACAAAATTAACTATTTCTCCCCCCCCCCCCCCCCCCCCCCCCCCCACAATTCTTGATTGTCTTAGTGTCATGATTGTCTTAGTGTCATGATTTTCTTAGTGTCTTGATTGTCTTAGTGTCTTGATTGTCTTAGTGTCTTGATTGTCTTAATGTCATGATTGTCTTAGTGTCTTGATTGTCTTAGTGTCAACTTGAGCATGATTTCCTCTAATGATCATCCACC